TCCTCTCTCTTCACATAACTTACCTAAAGGAATATACTGCAACCATAAGTAACCTAATTTTAGCTGTTTCAGATAGTACTGTTTAAGGAACAGTGAACAAAGGGAAGTTTGCTTATAACCTTTAAGGGCAGTTTGAGGTGAGTGAAGCTGTTGACCTCCRTGTGAGGTCCTACAAGAGGAGAAGTTGAGTTCCTTTGGATTTTGTTTTCCTGTTAAAATACAGGGAGTCAGGATGACTTACAAAATAACTGACCAAGAGAGGTGCTATCTTGTATTGCAGAGCCAAGGAAGAGCAGTGTTGCTGCTGGTAGAGTGAGTTAACTGAAAGGATGTTGGCAACCAGACTGTCCCGGCCTCTCCTGAGCTTCTCTGTGAAAGCCCTGAATGTGAAGGACCCAGGGAGTGGCTGCAGGTAAGAAACCTGATGGAGAAGAGTGAGGTCTTGCATAAACCTCTTGCTGAGGGCTCATTTGATTTCATTGGCAGTGTATATTTTTAGAGGGTGCATTATATATGAGAGCAGGGTTTGGCAAGAAGATTTTYAACACCTGTGCAGTCATCTGCAATCAGAGAGTTGAGCAGAGTGTTAATTCAATGCTTAGTAAGTACTCATTCCTCAATATCAGCAGGTAGGCCTTGCTACTCAGCAAAGAACAGTCACATGTTCTTGTGACTCCATTAAAGAGATAATGAATCGTATAAAATGAAAAGAGAAAGTTGAGCAGGAGGAGTTTTGTGAGAGAGGGGAGTGGGTTGAGTAATGAAGATGATTTTTGTTCTGAACCTGAACAGAAAATTACCCACCTGCTTCTAACTCCTAGCCCTGAAAAAATCCCTTTCTACTGGTGTTTGAAGGGGACCCTATTATTCCAAACTCTGAGTAAGCCAAGTGATTTCACAGGCTTTATTTCATGGCAAACAGGACTGTGTGCACTGGAAATTATCARCAAGCCATTTAAAAATGGCCTGTGGCTTGCTGAGCGAAAACTGTTCCCATCAGTAGGGTTCTGTTTTTGTTGCTGGTAGTGTCCAGCACTGTGACATGCAGGAATGACTCCTGTAACACAGACAGTTGTTAGATGTAAGATGGGAAGTCTCTAATAACTTACTCTTTTCTGTGAAATCTCTTTTGTCTGCTACACAAGAGATCTAAGCTGCACCAGAAGGAAATTTCTTAAAAATACAAATGAATATTGATTCTGTCTGTGCAGTTTAAAGGTCTTGTAGTGGTATCTAGAACACAATTACATAGAATGACAAAAAATGGTTCTTGCTACATTAATGTACGTGGAAGCGGAGTGGGGAGGTTAACATCAGACACATATCTTAGGAATTTCCTCTGATGACATTTCTGCTGATCAGTAGCCAGCATTTATTTTGCTCCCTTATCTTCAGGTCAAGGTAGACAGAATGTCAAGTAGTTATTCTCTAGAGTTCRCTGTGATTAGAGAGCAGCAAATCAGTGTGCTGTAGTGAAATAACTGGCCCAGAGATGACATGGAAAAATAARAATGATCTTAATGTAACTAAAATGTATTATGAACATTTCCAGGCACTTTGAGACACACAAAGGAACTTAGTGTTGAGCTGAAAGATCAAAATCAGTCATGTTATACATAGCCAGGATGGGCCTGCAGTAATTATTTAATGTTGCCATTGCTATTGCAAGAGATAGGGCTTGTGACACTCAAAATTAGGCAAAGAAGAGATGAATGGATGCAGGATAGAGGTGAGTGGACTGGGTTCACTTATTGTAAATCGTCTTTCAGCAAGGAGGGCATTTGTATCTGAATCAAAGTTTCTGCCTTTTAGACCCTTTTGGCCTGGTAGTCTCAAGGTGCAGCCAAGCTCCTTCAGAAGCTGTTCAGGTGGCTCAGGTCACCCTGGGTGCATCTGCTGTCTGAGCAGAAGATAATCGTGATTGGGAAGGGACACTCACAAGGCAGAAGAGCTGCCTGGAACTTAGGCTCTACTGGGTTGTCAGACAGMCAAACCAGAGGGCAGCTGAAATGCAACAAGTCTAGTGGAAAGTTGGAAGGCTATAGGGGAATGATGGCAGCGTCCAAAGGAAAACACACAAAAYCAGACTGATAAAATCCAGGCAGGTAGCTGGCAAGGACGGATGGTTAAGGTCATTCTGATGTGTTGTCCTGGCCTAGTTGTGATGAACGATAGCAAGAACTGTGAGTGTGGTGCCTCAGCTAGTTTAGCTTTGCTGATTAGGTGCTGATTTTCTGGAATGCACTGTTGCTTTGCTCTGGTCTGCATTTGCAAACACAATGTATTTTCTTGCGAGTCGGACACACTGTACAGAAGAGTTTCATCTACGTGGCAGGTATTGCTCAAAGCTATGATGACTCTTAGCTTAAACAGTTACAAAGAGGGGATATGAGATCTGCCTGAGTAGCTGCTGGGGACAGACACTGGAGAGGAAGAACTGTTACCCAAGGTGACACAAAGGTGGAGCTGCGCATAAAAGCTGTGAGGTAGATCTGAGCAAAGTGAACCTGAAGTTGGGGATCAAACAATGCCACAGCAGTATGTTTTCATCAGAAAGAAAATGAACAGTTTCCATTAAGCCAGCTTTGTGTCACTCTAAATGTAAGTGTTGCTGTTGGGAAATGGAAACTTTGTACATTGCCCGCTTCACAGGAAGAGACTGCCCCGTGCCTTCAGACCAGGGGCTATTGTAGAAATCTCAGTATATCCAAACAGCTGGAAGTAGCAACAAGGTCTTTTTAGAAAGCAGTGGTTTACAAGGTAGGAGACACGCAGACTCAAACCAAGGAAAACTCGAGACCAGCTCCTGCCTTCTCAAATGACAGCACATACTGCGTCCATCAGCAATACCCTCTCCTTAAGCATATGCTGCAGCACGAGGCTGCAGGYGAGATATTCCATGCCTGATTCTTCTTTTTTTTCTTTTTTATCCTCACAGGCCTGTGCAAAGGTTTTGCTTCCCTCTCTTGTCCCCCTGCAGCAGCCGCTCTTATGCAAGTGAAGTGGATCAGGTGAGTGTGACTGTGATTTCTTGGAACCAGTTTTGCTGAGCTGTTTTTTTTTTTTTTTTTTTTTTTTTTTTTTTTTTTTTTTTTTTTTTTTTTTTTTTTTTTTTAAATCCCTGAATACTGGGGATGAAAATATTTTTATAATCTGCTGGAAGGATTCTGAGCTGGACCTTTCCAACATATTCCACATTCTTTCCTAGTGCAGAGCTCCTGTTGACGTAGCGTGGTACATGCTGCTAAGGATGGAAATAAACAATCAGACTAATGGCGGGGGGGGGGTTCTAAATTTGGAACTCAGCAGATGAAATCTTCCCCTTTAGAGTGGAGGGAATTTGCATGACAGGTTTTTAAGAAAGCTTTTCTTCCTGAGAACGGTGGTATGGAGATATGTGAGTAAATTGGTGTTATCCTCGCTTTTGAGTGTGGAAAGTGACCCCTTCCTTCATCGCCCTTTCCTTGATGTCACTAGTCTGCCAGGAACAGTGCCAGGCAAAAGGAGGGGAGAATTTTTGCCATTTGCCTGTCTTGTGACAGATGACTCGGTATTGAATAAATGCTAGAGCATATACATATCTTCATTTCCCTCTGTAAGCCCATGACAGCCTCAGAGGATTCAGGTGTGACACTTATGTCACTCTGAGTCCTGCTATATAATGGGGAAGGCCAAATTTCCATTTCTAAATAATGGCAAGTTGGAGTGAATGGCAAATAGTTATTACCTAATCCCACCCACAGCAGCATCTTGGTGCTAATACACCCGTTGTTACTAGAATGTTTGATACTATTCATCTTTTAATGTATTAGTTAAATGCTGCTTCTTTTTGGTTTGCTCTAAGGGTTTGGGAAAGGAAAAAGGTGAGCTTCTGTTTAAATTACAGGTTGGAAAATTAAGGCAAAARTACAAATGACCAATAGATCTTAATTCCAAATAGTAAACCTATTGAATTTGCATAGCTTTTAAAACCCAGCACCAGAAAATTATTTGCTTGAGGGATAAGATGAGTGAGCAGTCAGGTAGTTCAACCCTTGTTCCTCCAGCGAGTTTGGTGAAGCTGGTCTTCCACACCACCTACAGGCTGTATGGAACAGGAGAGTAGACTGATATATTCCTGGTGCTGTGCTTATCCCTGCACATACTGGAGCAGTTCCTGTGGAAGAGGGAGCATTTTTRGGGAACTGTCCACTATATTTTCAGGCTTTGAGATGTGAATGAGCTGCAAGGGTTTGGCAGTTTGTTTGACCTTTTGGCCGTGGCAGCCTGTTGCCAGCACTGCTGAGCTTCTCTTTGTTTCGGGAGGCCAGGAATCCTGCCTCACTGGAGTGCTTCCAAAAATAAAGGTTTCCTGTCTTCAGGAGGTACTGAGTTGTGATAGGCTGGCAATGGGTGTAGAGAACRTCCCCGAAATGTACTGCTCCTGGCTACGGACATAATTTTGTTCTGTGTGCTACAAGTCATTCATTCCAAGCACTCAATTATAGTGCTTTTGTTTGCTTTGCTTTGTTTTGCAGATTGGCAGCAGAGCTGTGCTTATAACGGGTTGTGATTCAGGCTTTGGATTTGCCCTGGCCAAGCACCTGCATGCCAAAGGCTTTATTATTTATGCTGGTTGCCTGCAAAAGGTAAGGAAAGCAAAATTTTATTTTTCACCTGTGGCCCATGCACAAATCCAGTGTTTCACTCACTTCACAGTTTTTCACTGAGGAGAGGGAGGATGTTTGATCTTCATGGAGGATGAACTGGCTCAGACCAGAACCAGGCCTGCGCAGTGTTTGGAGGATTCTCATCGGAGTCTTAAGATAGTGCTATGGCTAAGACWCTGGCTAGAAAACAAATTTAAATTTGTTGGTTTATCTATAAGCAAACTGTAGGGTCAAGTTAAGTCTGCATCTTTGGACTGACTCTGAAATAATATAAATTTATGCATAGCTTTGATTAATTGTGACAACCAGCAAGCCAACAATGATTTTAGGATATATGATATTCCTGTATCTCTCCATATCCTGCTATTGCTTTATCTCTCTGCATGCTGAGGGCAGCCGTTCTTCAGTTGTGCACCGAGAGTCTCCTGAAATTGCTGTGAAGTCAACAGAGTCCCCTAGTGCAAATGAGAGCAGAGTTGGGCTAACAATAKGTTAGTGACAGTCAGGATACATTTTCCAGGGCAACTTTGTATGGCAATCTGAGCTGTCTGGCAATGGAGAATTAAAGAAAAAAGAGCCTTAGCCTCTCTGTCGCAGTTGCATTTTTTTAACTGCCTGGCCATTTTCTGAGAGAAACCAACTTAATCCTCAGGATATCCTGAGGTGGGTCGTTATCTTGATCCTAATCTTGTAGCTCATTGATTGCTGTAAATCTGTTATTGCTATAGTCTTTGAAAAGACATTGCCAGATATTTTTAATATTATTAATACATTTTCTGCTATTAATCTTTCCATTATTATGAAGTATTGCTTAAAATATTAGTTTTTTCTGCTCCACTTTTTTTCAACTGAGTTTATGTTCGAATAGCTCTGCCCCTTGTGGTCAAGGATTTATTTATTAACGTGGGCTCCCTCTACAGGCTTCGCAGTAGAACAAGACAATATTTTAATTGAAATTAATGTTTTTCAAAAGATTTCTGGGCGGAGGAAGAGAAGAACACTTTTTTTTTTTTTTTTGAAAATAGCTCTGTTCAGCTTTTATAATTAAAGATTGACATTACAGAACTTGAATATTAATCCGCTCAGATGTTGACAGTAGCCAAAAATTTCAGAGCAGCGAAGTTACTTCTGAGTTTCACTTCCTCCCTCTGAGATATGAGAAGGGCATGATTTTCAGTAYGTGTCTGGTTAACTGTCTCTGAAGCCCCTCTCCACTATGGTGCTTTCCGTACATGTGCTGCTGAATGCCTSTTGCTGCAGAGTCTTTGCCTGTGACACTGCCAGCCCACATTGAGGCAAAGCAGCACACCAGAACTCTTTTAGGCTTTGGCCAGCGTTTATTTCTTCATCGAAATCAGCAGAATCCTTTTCTGTATCACTGTAATTCAATGTTGCATTTTTAGCTAGACTTGCCTCTCATGCTCCAAAATTTTTGCAACCATGGCTGGATTGCTAAGAGCGGTTATCATCAGAAAAACACTATAAAAATGCCAAAGCTCCCTAATCGCGTGTCTCCTATGTGTCTTCAAGTTATATAGTTCATGAAGAAAACCAAATTCTTAGCCCTGTAGAATCAAAACAACCCCAGGAGAATGAGCTGCTTTCTGTTGTGTCACAGGCTTCATTAGCAAAACTATAAGAAGAATCTCATCAGAATGTTGTCATTGCTAATGCTCACCTTAAGGACAGAGAAGAAAGGCCCAGTGTGTTCTGCACAGATTCTATACAGAAGCATAGCTGGAAATAAGAAGCATCATCTTTTGCTTTTAAAATGAATATGTTTCACTGAGCACTGACTGAGAGGAAAAGGCTGTTTGAGGTGGCTTTGTGAGAGCAGAGCTACCTGTTGAGAGGCTGGTGGGGGACCATTATGTCCTCTCTGTAGGGGCCTCCTTTTCTACATGCAGACACAAAGTGAGTGCAGTGCTAGCACTTCCGTAGGAAAAGTTTCCTAACATGGCCACATCCTGAGCACCCCTGAAGGAAACCAGAGCAAATGGAGAGAGATGTTTAAAGCTGTGACTGAGCAGAGCCCAAGGATGCATCTGTGCTTCTGGCTGCTTTGTCTTTGGAGGTGTATATTTCACATGCAGATTCTTCTTCATATTTTTGCGGCCAATATGTTCACATGAGAATTGGATTCATGCTTCATTGCTGATGATAGTGRCAGACTGGACCCAATGATCTATTGCACTGCAGCTCTCTTATTTTTTCCTCTTTGGTTAATAGCTGTAGGAGCCAGCTATCAAAAGGTGAAGAAGGTATTTTTTCCATCAATATCTGTTGCCTGTGGGCATGTGTAGTGTTTGTCATGGCTGTCAAGGTTGTGGTGGAGTTTCTGTTTGCTTTGTGTGCTCAAGCCTGGTGGGGCTTGCCGTGTCCACCAGCCACCATCTGAGCAAGCCAGGATGCAGGCAAGTTACTGCAGGGCTGTKCAAGCCCTTTAATACTTCAGGGACACAGAGGCAGAAATCCAGGGTGGGCTCCAGAGGGGAAGATGGGGAGGCAGTGTGCATTTTAAAAAGGTGAGACTGGCTCTTGCTTTAAAGTCAGTGGAGATGCACTGGTCTCTGCACATAGCCTGAGAAGGTCCTTGCACTGCTGTTGAAGGGAGCAGGGTACGTGGGGTGGGCTCTGTCCTGTGCCAGGACAGCAAGACCTAGTACAGAGTGCCTTAAACATCACCCTGTGTGCTTTCCAAGGAGCAGAGGGAATAATCCTGTGGGCCCGGGACAGTGTCTGAAGTCCAGTCCTTGGTCAGAACTGCAGGGGCTCCCTGGCCAAGCATTTAGCAGTGTGACTGGGSCAGTAGGAGGGACATTGGCATGTCAGGCCTGTGCAGGAGCAACAGAAGGCTGTGAAGTTCTAGTAGTGCTGAGGACGCCTCTAAGGCTGCTGCTTTGCTGTGGTCCAAGTTAGATGTTTCAGAATCACGCCTACAGCTTGATTCAATGCATAGCTATGCATATTCATTATTCACTTCATATTGACTATGCATATTCAGCTATTCACAGCTATGCACCTCTTGCCAAAATTTCCAACATGTGCCTGTCCCACTCTGCTTTYTCATAGTGGCTCTGGTGTTTTCTTCTCTGCAAGGTAATTTCTCAGCACTTTGCAGACTGGGATTTGGGGAGAAGCACCTCAGCCTTGCTGTTCTCTATCTTCCCTCAAGCCCTATCTGCTGGTCCCGAGGRATTTGCCCGATTGCATTTACTGATTCTCCTTTGGCATTCCCACATRTGCCATTTGTGTGCTCTTTAATCCCTTGCCATGTTAACTGGCTTTGGTACCAAAGTGGGTTTGAGTGAGCAACAAAATTAGCACAGAACATTGCTTTTAGTCATCGTAAAACCAAACATCACTAAGCTATGCATGATTTTAACTCCTACATTTGGTATGCAGTATGCTTTTGTGTGAGGAGAGCGTGGCAGATGCCTTCTGCTAAGGACAAACACTAATCCTTATTAACAGCTTGCAGCAGAATAAGGAGGAATGGAGAAGAGCAAAGAGGACACATCAAGCACTTAAGTTAGTGAAAGGTTTCTCCTCTTGAGACATTATGTTGAGGGAACAGAGGGAGGGTTTTTTTTGTTTTGTTTTGTTTTTCTACAGCAGAGACAGGGATGTTTCAAAGAAGTGTTTATTTTCAAAGTCAGATGTTTGCCACCCCCTACAAAGAAGCCCTGCAGATGCCAGCACAGTCCCGTARCCCATAATCAGGAAAGCAAATGAGGGAGATCCCCCCAAGACCTTCATCTTCTGGGTGCCAGTAGCGCTGTAGCTGACTGAGCTGGGCTGAGGTGCAGGTTGCTCCAGTGGCAGAYCCAGCAGGACAGCCCTGCTGCTGGTAGCACCAGACTATGTGAAAGGTGGCTCAAGGGTTGGCTGCARTTACATGCCCAAACTGTGATTGGAGATATATATGTGTATATCTGTTTGTATGTATATGTACATGTATCATGTTTTTCTATATCCTACATAGGCGGATTTTGTTGCTCTCAGCTAATATTAAAGGAGTAGAGATAAGAACTGGGAAGGAGAAAGAGCTCCTGGAGGAAGAGAGGGGAAAAGCAGACAATGGAAAAGACCCTTTTTCCTGGGAAACCTGCTCCCAGGCAGTCGGAGCAGGTGCCTGGCAGCAAGGCTCCAGAGGAGTCAGTTGGTGCCCATAGATTCCCTTCCAGACCGCGGGAGCTGCAGACATGGAGCATTAAGAAGCGCAGCGTGCGGCAGTCTCTCCCATGGAGCTGTGGCCGCCTGTGYTGGCAGCGTGACCGAGAAGTGTGTGCAGGGTGTGTGGTTAGGKACCACAGCCCTACCCCGTGCTCTGCTGTGCCCCGCGTGCAAGGCCTCAGAGCAGGGCACCATGTTCCCGGGGCGGCCACAGTGCGACATAGCCTCACCTCACAAACTCACCATGGGCAGGAGTTACTTTGCTGGGCTAGGTCCTGCTCTAGCTGCATTTTTGCTGGCCAGATCTGTACAGATGGCTCAGTGACAGAGCTGGTGACCATACAGAGATGCAGAGGGATGATGTTCTTCAGGAGCAGCTTGAGCTGTTCCTCTCAGAGCTGCAGACCTGCCCTGGCTGTTCTGCAGCTGGCCTGTGCACTCCCCTTTGCTTGGTCTGGTGGTTGCTCTGCATCTTTCCTCTTCCTGTAAGGGGTCTTGTGCAGATTCAAAGCAGCTCACTTCTGTCACCTAGGACAAGGGAGAGGGTGGCTCCAAGGAGCTCGACGACATGAAGAGCGATCGAATGAGAACTGTCCAACTCAATGTGTGCGATAGCAAAGAGGTGGACCGCGCAGTGGAGCACGTGAACAACAGCCTGGAGGATCCCGAGAAAGGTGGGTGCACTCAGGAGACTACTGTCACATGGAAGGTGGTTGCAAGAGCTCTCTCGGTGGAGCCTTACAGCATTTTCAGAGATATTTCGAAAACTTGCCGAGCCACTGAAGGGCACAAAGCTTTGAGGAGAAACAGTGCAAAACAACTGGCCTGTTTACATTCTGTGTTGTTTCAAAAAGCAGCTCCCTGCTTGTCACCTAAAACGGTATCTGCAAAAAGAACTCCAACTTACTGGCTAGGTCTTAATGGGGACCTTAGCAGAAATCATATGGCTGTTTCAGAGCCTTGGGYTTAACTGTCTTTTATATGACTAGAAGTTGATTATAACTTACTTGCAGGGTGATCTCTGCTGGGTGGAGGGGGTTTCTGTGATCAGTCTGGTCAAGTTTTGCCAGTGTTTCAACGCCTTTGGGTGGCACTACGACCGGTGCTCAGTACACAAACGTTAGCCCTTTTCCAGGGACTGGTCTGTCCCTGCCAGGGAGGCAGCTCGGGAGCACCAGGGCTTACATCTAGCAGCGGATTGGGAGCAGGCAGAGCGTCCTCCTGGCGAGCGGCCCAGGCCTGGCCTGTCCTGCGCTGTGCAGCAGGTGGTGCTGCCGGCGCTGCAGCGCGGCCGCTGCGCGAGCATGCCTCAAACGGGGCTCTTCCCTAGTCTGGATTGGGCTGGGAAAACATCTGCATCTCTCTCAACACCACTACCTGCGGAGTCCCTGCTAAGTCTGCTGGCAGAAACCAGCTTGTCCTGTGTCACACTGCTCAGTTGGAAAGGGAGCTGCTGGAGCCTGAGTTCGCGTGCCCGGAGCTCAGCACTGGATCAGGAGCAGGACACTGAGCACTTGGCAAGTTCAAAGCTGCATGGCCAGGAGCTGTCAGTGCAAGTGCTCTTAGCTTTGCTGTGTTCAGCTGGGGAATGCAAGTTGGTTGTCTGTGTGACTCTTGACATTGATCTGTGATAGCAGAGCATGGATTACAGAGCATGAGCTCTGCTTCCTTTCCTACACATGCACAGCTCGCCTGTGCCTTTTTCTCTTCTACTTATGTGAAGAAGAGCAAGTTGTTGGACCTGTCTCCTTATTTACTGGGCATGCAGATCCTCTGTGGGGGCCTTCATCACTGAAGTTTTTGGCAGTTCAAAAGATGTTCATAGAGCTAGTCAAAGACACAGACTAAGGACCTGATTGTTTGCTAATTACTATCTTAGAGCTTTTCACGGGGCTTTGGCATTAACAGCTCACTTTGAAGTAGCAGAAGAGGCTGTTTAATACGTAGGCTGAGCAGTTAGGAATATAATTAGGAAACTGTATGAAAGGAGTCTGAATTATTCCAAGTTCCTTTCTAATCCTTCTTTTTATTTGCCAGATGACTTGGTAGCTGCAGCAGTTGTCATCTGGGTTACAGCAGGATAAAAGGGAGAGGCCATGGTATGCATGCCCACCCATGCCACATGATCCTTCCCAGCATTGCAGTCATTCGAGTTTTTTATGATGACACAGAGGATTTCACTTCAAAAGAGTCGATCTCTTGTTTCTTACAAGGTCTCTTCTATTATTACTGTTTGCATTCAGAAACTATTTTGCTTCTTTCAAAAATCACTAGGGATGAAAAGAAAATGGCAAGGCCAGACTGCATACACATGGTTGAATTCTCTGTTGGCTCAGAACTCAGTGGCATCCTTATTCGCAGCAGTTTGACTGCAGTGTTGGGAAACAGAACAGAAAAACCTCACTGTGATTATGTTTGCCCAGGAGACCGAGGTCTGCTCTGGCTTCTCTCCTGTCTGCCTTTCATTGTGACAGGTCTTAATGAAAAACTCTATTAAGTGCTTTGGTACCGCATGAGCAAGGCCTTTCCTGAGGCCATCGGTCTCACAGAAGTAAAGCCTTTTGCTTGATGTTACTTTCCAGGACTCTGGGGGCTGGTTAACAAYGCTGGGATCTCCACGTTCGGGGAGGTCGAGTTCACCAGCATGGATACGTACATGGAAGTGGCTGAAGTAAACCTGTGGGGGACCGTGCGCACCACCAAGGCCTTCCTGCCGCTCATCCGCAGATCAAAAGGTGAGTGGGCGCCGGCGCCGTGCGCGGTGGGGCTGGGCGCTCTGCTCGGCTGTGCTGTGAGGGTGTCCTGCCCGCAGGGCTGTGCCGCGCTGCCTGCGCGTGATGCTGTGCCCTGCCGAGGAGCAGTGTGGCCTTGGTGGCGACAGTTTCCCTTTCCRCTGCTTCCTCTTGGCTCTGCTCAGTCCTTATTGCTGCTGAGCAGCCCTGTTTCTCCCCGTGCAGATTTTATCCTGCATCTTTGCGTTGCTCCTTGTTTCCTGTAGCACTGAGCTAGGTGTGTCACCGTGTCCCTGTGCGCTCAGATGGAGCGAGCTGGGCGCGCCCTGCAGTGGACCTGTGTCCTGTCCGAGGGCTCTTGCCCAGGGCAGCAAAGCTCTGTTGGAGCCCTCGGCTCGTGTGTCTGCCRGGCAGCTGCTGGGGGCACAGCAGGCAGGTGGGTGCCCATGCTGGGGTGCATGCCAGGGGTCTGCCCTGCGCAGGCATCACAGCTGTGGTTTGCCTGACCTCTGCCCAGGTCGTGTGGTGAACATCAGCAGCATGATGGGGCGCATGGGCAGCCCTGCCCGCTCCCCCTACTGCATCACCAAGTTCGGTGTGGAAGCCTTCTCCGACTGCCTGCGCTACGAGATGCAGCCCCAGGGTGTCATGGTCAGCATCGTGGAGCCCGGAAACTTCATCGCTGCCACGAACCTGTACAGCCCCGAGCGCATCAAAGCCATAGCTGACAAGATGTGGGACGAGCTCCCCGAGATCGTGCGCAAGGACTATGGCAGGAAGTACTTCGACGAGCAGGTGAGCAAGATGGAGACGTACTGCAACAGCGGCTCCACCGACACGTCGCCCGTCATCGAGAGCGTCGCCCACGCGCTCACCGCCACGGCGCCCTACACCCGCTACCACCCCATGGATTACTACTGGTGGCTGCGCATGCAGATCATGACGCACATGCCGGCGGCCATCTCCGACCGCCTCTACGTCTATTGAGGCCTCACACTCCTGGGCTACCAAGGTGGGAAACCTGCTTGAGAGAGAGCATTGTACACAGTTCCTATTAGCCATTTTTTAATTTTTCTAACCTCAATTCAGAGTACTGTATTTTAGCTCTAAAGGGTTCCTTTAAACATCTGACATAACCTAAGGGGCAGTAATTCACAAGGGATACTTTGTGGGCAGGAATATATTATATTTGTGCACGAACATTGTTTCCTTGCTATTTATTTCATGTAATCTTTTTTGTTTTCCACCTCAGCTGTCAAGTTAAAATCATTATTTAAATTGTGATTGCTCCAAAGTGCTTTCATAACAATTTTTGCCAGTGATTGTACACAGTCTTTAGAATTCCTGCCTAGGATGCAGCCTTCACTCCATAAAGCAGAGTCCTCTGTTTTGTAGCAGTGAAACGTTACCTCCTGATGCGTCCAATAGACTTTGCCAAGGCTGCTGACAGAAGCCTGAGGTAGAGCAGAAGCTCCTTTAATTCAAGGTTCAGAACTGCAAACATAGAGTGCTGCAGCTGAGCAAATGACCCCGTCCTTTCCTGTCTTTGAGTTTTACCCAGTAAATTTAAATGGACGAGGAAGCGCTCYGCTTCTCTGCGTGATTGCTTGCAACAAGGTAGTGAACCAGGGACTCAATCCTGCAGACCTTTCTCACAGGYGTTTCTTACTCATCCGAGCATTCCCATGCGTGTGAGCAGCTTTACCCACAGCACTGCAGGCAGCAGGGTTGGCCCGTAGTGACATTTCTCTTCTCTTCAACAGTAATTGAACCTCAGCTCCAGGTTTAGTTTGGAATAGGGTTTCACTCCAGTTTCTATAACTTGTGAGGATCACAGCTGGCCACAGGGAAGCCAGGAGCATTATGGTCACATTCACAAACACCATTCTGACCAGGGACCTCCAAGTTACTACTCCATGAAGTATTTGTACAGCACCTTGCACAGAAGGGCCTTAATCCTACCTGGGGCCTCTAGACAGTATTGCAGTGCAGGTGATAGAATCTGTCATTGAAGGAGTCATTGAGCCAAAACGCACAAAACCTGGTATCAATCTAACAGAATGTCCATAGCACAGTAAAACTAACCTCCAGAGCAATTTAATTTCCATGCTGGGTATGTTTACATGTCTGAGAATTATTTGTTTTGTACTGTAAGAAAAGAAAAAAAAAACACAAAAGAGTCTTTCATGGGGAAATGTTGAAAGTTAATTTTTTAAGCTTAAAAGGTAACAAAAGTAATTAAAATAACCATTGTTAGCAGAGTTGAAGAGAAGGGATTTCATGCGCCCTAGTAGCGTACTGTGACAAGTTGAGAGTACGTGAACAAACTCCTTTGGCTTAATAAATGTGTACATTAATGTTAACAAAATTCAGAGGCTTTCTCTTTTTTTTTAATTTTGAAGATGAAAACTCACGTGCTTTGTTTTTYCAAATCTACTGTTACACCCAAGTGCTTTGTTGAGAGGCTGAAGTCAGCGGCCAGCGTGCATCGGAGCTCCGCGCGCAGCAGCGGGGTGAGACCTGCCTCAGTTCCCGGGAGGAGGAGCGGATCATCTCCAGCGCTTTCCAGGGAAAGACGCTTAACCGAAAATAGCTTTCACTGGTGTGGTGGGAGGCAGCAAAAAATGGGGTAATTTTAACTGCAGCTCTTACATCTTGTTCCAAGCCCTAATGAGGAAATCATGAAGTTCTGCCCACTTTCAGAACTTTTTGTTCTCTTTCAGAGGGGAGTGAATGTTGCATTTGAAACAAGCATTTRGTGACCCGTTATCAACACATTATTCAGATGCAGTGCTGGCGTTTCCCRGTTACACGGAAAATGATACCAAAGAGGGGAGGGCTGGTCCCAAGTTCTGCTGCCGCCCAGAGCTGGTCGGTGCCTCAGCTCCAGCTCCTGGGCAGAGGTTGGGCTTGGGCTCCTCTCGTGTTGGGCTGTGTTGTGGCAGCTTCCCCGAGGCTCTGCCTTCCACCCTGCTGAGGCCGTCGCTGTCCTGGGCCAGCAGCGCAGGAACAGGCTGCTCTGCACAGATGAGAGCGAAGGGAACCACGTCAGGGCAGGCCGTGTCAAATAGCTGAGCCCGGGATGCCTGTCCCGGCCGAACTTAATGCAAGAATTAAACTAAGTGTAAGGATTACATACTAAATTAAATATAAGATAGTTCAGCTGCWCAGCCACCGTGTTGGGGGGCCAAAGCATGTATGTAGCTGCTGGCATTTCAGGTACTGACTGAAAAGAGAGTGGCTTCCAGCTAGGTCTGAGGGAACAGGCCTGGGAATCATATGCGCAACTCACTGGTAACACTTCCCCTGGTGAGATGCTGCTCAGGAGCAGGTTTATGGCTTGCTGAGCAGCCTTGTGATGGTGCAGAGGTAAAGAGGTTCTTTCCTGCAAGAGCTGCGGCGCTACCCGGCGTTCCCGGAGCCGCGCGCAGATCCGGCGGCTGCAGCAGCAGCTCGCGGCCTCCCAGCAGCTGCGCAGCAGCCGGCCAGCCCGTACTCACTGCGCAGGGATGCTGCAGCACGGCCCAGACACTGCAGCGCCCATGGCAAGAAGGGCTGGCTCTGTGCAGCTCGTCACCCCCGTCACCTGGGCATGCTCCCCTCCGCAGTGCGTGCCCACCTAGGACTGCCTGCCTGGAGCAGACACTCACCCTAAGCCCCTCCAGCAAAGCCGGGGCGGTGGCAATGGCAAACAGGGTGTCCCGGACAGCACAGCCTCTGTTTGGAGCGCTTTCACCCTAACCATGCAGTGAGGGACATGCAGTGATGGGTGCTCTTCTGCAGCCAGCTGAGGTAGCTGCCTGCTCTCTCTGCATTTCACCTCGGAAGGGCTCAAGGACTTCAGGACTGACTAGCAAAATGTAAAGCAGGCTCCTCTGTTCCTGCTCTCCAGAAGGCAGCTCCCTGCAGGGTGTGGGAAGCGTAGGGGTGTAGAGTCTCGATAAGATGTAGGTTGCTGTTTTGCAGTAAGTTTTGCTAACACTGTGGGGTTTTTTTTTGCTACAGAGTGTGGCTGTTCAATGATGATTTTTTGTCAGTCAGCCCCAATCACAAGTGAAACACACTCTGCTCCAGGAGCTCTACCACTTTGTACAAATCCTAAACTGGAGCAGGGACTAGGACCCATATCTGCTGTGCAAGCTGAGCTAGTCTTTTTCTCTTTCCCTCTTTAGCACAACATTATGTAATTATTTATGTGATGTGGGACATCTTTAGCACAAAAGTTTGCAAGAGCTGTCATCACCCACCACGTAAGTTGTGGAGAAACAGCCCTCTTCTGAGCTGGGGGAGGTCCGGATTCACAGCCCTGCCCAAATCTGGCAGGGGGTCTCTGCGCTGCTTTTCTCTCTACGGAAGAGATCACTGCTGAGAGGACAGTTTCACAGGATGATTTACCTGATTTACCTCTGACTCCATTGAGGAATCCTTCTGCTGTCCTCTTTGTTCGGCTGCACGTTCCCTCCACAGCGCTCTGCTCGGGAACTGTGGGGCAAGKGGGTCATCTCACCAGCTGCAGAACAGTTACAAGTGTAGAGGTGTTATTTRCAAGGCTGGGTAAACATAACAGGGCACAAGAATGTCTTCTTCAGCAACACTTAGATCAGATTATGGTGCTGGGAAGCTGCACCCTGGGAACCATGACCAGGGCGTTACTGAAGCCACATGAGATATTTGCTGCTTATGCAACGCGTTTCAGTCAGTCCTATCTCTTCATTTCTGACCAGCTCTTTTGGGGACCTCTCCCTTGCCTGGGGTATTTGTTTCACCTAAGAAGCCCAAATTCCACTTCTGAGCACAACCTTTGTTCCATCCAGAGTAACATGTTAGGAAAAAACAGGACCCTGAACTCAAGCTCCCTGAATACCTCCCCACCAAACCTCAGGAAAACTCCTTGGTGGAGTCTAGGGTGAAAGTGTGAATATTCCTGTCATTATTTGTCCATCAACTATGATTGTCAGAGCAGCAGCCTAAAAATGTGGTAATATCTGAAGGGATGACTCTGATGGTATTTCTAATTTTGCCTTGAGCTGMGTGGACTATAAATCTTGTGAGATAACATGTTACCACAGCGACTTCCAGCCAGTTTTTCAGGCTTTGGATGTTTGAATGCTACAAAAAAGCAGTTTGCGGAAACTCCTCTGAACCGACTGAGCCCGGTTTTGTGCATCATTAATGCAGGAAACAGCAGAAATCTGTTATACCGATGAACACAGACTGACTGTTTGGTACTTCTGCTATCATGGGAACCAAGAGGAATTGTATGAAACCACATGTGCTTAAGCTGTGGAACTCATTGTCCTGAGAGACAGGTCTGAAAGAGAGACCAGAAAAAATCACAAAGACGGGTTCAGCAGCGACCAGGCTTTGTTGCTGAGGGCTTCCCTGCTGGCCGCCCACACACCGGACACGCTGTGGGCGCTCGTGCCTCAGTGCCGGGAGGACAAGGGGAGACGCGGCCGCGCGGGACGGCTCGGCCGCCGCACAACGAGCGGCCAGAGCCGAGCGGTGCCGAGACGGCGGCGGCTGGTACCGCCACGCGGGGACGGGCGGCCGCGGCCCCCGCTGCCCTCAATGGCCCTTTGTGGCCRCGGCCTCCGCCACGCGCTGCCCCACAGGTGGACGGCCCTTCCCGGCCTGGTTGCCCTTCCCGCCCGGCCTGCTSCCAGGACACCTCTGCGCCAGGCCGGTACCTGCCAAGCACCGAAGCTTTTCCTGCGCAGGGCAGAGGATTTGTTAGGAATGTTGCTAYCTGGGAGCAGGATGGGCCTTAAACGTCTCTAAACTGAGCTCAAGTGGTGTTGTATGACTGGTGTGTGTATGTGTGCGTGGTGAGTGCGTTGCATCTGGGAAGCCTGAATGGAGCAGATGTCCTAGGGTCTATGAAAAACGCGGTGTGTTTTTCTGTGCTACCTCAGGGAAATGCTGTTGGCCTGGAGGATTTCACTTTCTGGCTGTTGTTCCCTTCTTTTCTAATAACCCAGGCRTGCTACTTTATTCCCAAAGATGGAAAAAAAAAATGTGTATGGACCCCCAAACCACTTGGTAGCCAAGTCTCCAAAGAAGTGGGATATATGATATAACTTTGTGCCCAGTCTCATCCAGGAGATGCTGGCCAGGCTGAGCTTGCCCAGGAGCAGCACTCCARGAAAACACAGCTCCAGCGCTGCATCCGAGCCCCGCTGCTCCCGCCAGCAGAGATAGGGCTGAAAAGATCATTAAGACCTTTGAAATACACTTCTCAGTGTGATTCATCCCATTCTGACGTAGCAGATAGAAAGGAAATCCACAAGGAATTACCACGGGGCCTGTAAGTGTCTGCTAAACTGCAGTGAGGATGAAAGCAGATCAGCTTTTTTTAGGACTCAGCTGAATCGGCCTGCAATCCACTCTCAGCAGCGCTTCCAGCTAAGCCAGCTGCCTTTGATCCCAAAGGCAACGGGAGACCTCGGGGAGCTCCCGCGACATTCCAGCCCGTCGGGTGGCAACTGTGGCAATGAGCACTGGGCAAGCACAAGGTCTTAACCCAGATGAAGCAGAGCCCCAGCCTGTGCTCGGGGACCTGGGGAGCTCGTGTTCCCGAAGCTGGAGCTGGGCTGCTCCCGTGCAAGGCAGAGCTCGGTGCCCACGGCGCTGCCGTCCTGCCAAGCTCACAGCCCTCCGGCCTGGGCGCCCGCGTTGCTTCGCAGACAGTGCCCGGTTTGCAGCGGGAGGCGCCGTCCCAGCCGGGCCGCTACCGCTGGGCCAACAGCCCAGCTGCGGCGCACGAGCCGAGGGAGGGAGCTGCCCCGCGCGGGGAGAGGCCTCTCCCTGGATTGCCTGGCTCTGCGGCCGCGTCGCTCCCTCCCGGCTCACGAGCGTCGTGGAGGCCAGAGCAAGGCTAATAGGATTACGGCCCTAAAGCGCTTTAAAGAGGAAGCGTCTTATCTGCGTGCCGCCCGGCCCTGCGGTCACGCTGGGGCCTGTGCCGCTGCCCTGGGCCCGGCCCGCACGGGCGCTGCAGCCAGACGGGCCCCTTAATCCTGCCCGCCCCGGCCAGGGCCCGTCCGCAGGCAGCGCCGTCACGCTCGTGTGGACGAGACGTCCCTCTTGTGCCCCACACACTGCCCCGCACAAAGCTCCTGAGCTCCCGGGCGCTGCAGGAATAGGCACCTCCGGCCCCAGCGCCCCRCAGC